TTTTTTGTAAGGCAACAATGGATTCACAGGGCTGCATACGGAACATTTCATATTCTTGACTTAAAGTGTTGAGTCTTGATCTTTTTACTTCAGCGGTTCCTTCATGCGTTTCTACCAAGGTGTCCCAAATCTCTTTTGCCGATCTACACTGTGATACATGGAAGAACTCGTCCATACTAAGAGCGCTTTGGAGTATGTTGATTGCTTTCTTTTCATTAAGAATCTTTTTCTTATCGTCTTCATCATACGTGCTTTTCAACTTTGCAGTTCCAACGCCATTGACCACATTTACTAGATTGTGTGGTCCTTCTTCGATTGCTTCCCATATACGTTCTCCTTGGCCTTCAAAATGCGCCTTCATTCTGATTTTCCAGAAATCGAAATATTCTCCAGAAAACAGTGGTGGTTTATTACTACTTCCACCGTCTTTGAAAACCGGGTTGGTGCTAGCGGAAGCCATACTGAATCTTTAGGAACAGGTTACCTTAACCTGCTCTGATGCCAATTGTAAGTCCAGAGTATGCCTAAGAGCGGGGGTGAATTAGGCTTTAGAAACTTTTTCTGGTTTTTCGATATTCTTGAATTTTTCTTCTTTAAGTTCTTGGTGATGAAAGCAGTAAAAGCAGAAAGAAAAATGAACACGGAGATTTATAGTGGTTCTCTTCACAATCCGAAGGTACTCCACTCCCCTTTCCATATGAAAGAGAGTTTTCACTATAGTTTTAGAAATTACAACCTATCACACCATCAACCGGTGAGGCCTACAATCTAACAACTAATCAACAACTATTGTGCAAGAACAATCCTCTTGCAAACACTATCCCTTGTATCCAACAATCCTGGATCACAAGTCACAATAGAAATAACTTTGTATTTTTGTAATTTGAAAGTGATACAATGATAATATAAATCTAATGATTGATTTTCTCCTTTTGATCAAAATCCACTCTTCAATATCAATACAAGTGTTCAAAAATCTGGATATGAAATTGTATGAACAATATGAACACTTTTTGAAAATATTTGAAAATATTTGAAAAGTAGTGAATTTGATTCAATGAATATTTTAAAAATTATTGGAGGTTTTTTTTTTCAATTTGAAATTATTAGAATTTATATGAGCAAAACACCATTTCAAAAAGGTACAAATGAGTAAGAACCAAAACATGAAAAGGTATAATATTCAAACAACATTTGAATTTTAACAGCAAAAAATTTTCAAAATTCGTTCAGTGTTAATCGGTTAACCATATAGGTTAATCGGTTAACACTTGAACGTTGGCCCAGAGAATTTAAAAAATAAGGCCGTTAACCGATTAACCCATATGGTTAATCGGTTAACACTGTTAAAACTCAGAAAAATGCTTGAGTTAAAAAGTGTTATACAAATTCAAATGATTTTTAAAACATGCAGATGCAATATGATATCATGATAAAATATTTGAACACTTGTATATCAATTAAAGGAGTGAAAATTGATATACTGAAGCTTGAGTCCAAATCTTGAAAGTTGAATGAACATTTGCACATGATGCTTCTGGTTTTATCTTCAGAGTATATACCCCCACAGGTATATAGTGCAAACAGCTTCACAGTACATATACCCCCACGGGTATATAGTGTAAGAATCTTGATCTTGATCAGATTTGAAAGCTTTGACTTTTTTCTTGCAATCATGGAATGAGCTTGAGTCTTTGTTGACATCATCAAAACCTTGAGATTGAAATGTGCTTCTACAAGGCTAATGAGAACATCTTTATCTAGTCCATGAATGTTGTCATGATTGTTGCAAATCTATACACGATACAACATCCAATTAGTCTTGTTATTATTAAAATCTAATTCAATTAAAACATCTATTTTTGTACAAAAAATCACACGATTGCGGAACCAGTGAGCAAATTCTCTATGAACCTTCTTATCTATCTCAGCAACACTTCTTTGACTGCGCTTCATTTGATTCTGAGTAATACCTCGGAACTGCCTATTTGGTTATTTGATATTAGATGTAAAAAAAATATTAATAGTGCAAATGAAACTACTTATATGGCATAAAACTACTTAATTTAGATAGTCGTCAACTATTGGACAATTCGTTAAAATGTGTCTATGAGCCTGCAACTTTTCAATTGGTGTTAGGGTGTAATAAGAAGATCCACCCACAGGTTTTCCAAATATAGGAAATAATTCGGCTACACGTGATCCTGTTTGGATATCACCAATAGGGTCATCATCTACACGTCCAGGTTGATTCCATCTAGTTTCAATATTTTCTAGATATCTTGAACAAAATGTAAGAATCTCTTCAAAACGGTACCCTTCTGCAATAGACCCTTCTGCAATATTTTCTAGATATCTTGAACAAAATGTAAGAATCTCTACACGTACATGCGATTTAAGTTTTACCAAGTATCTATTATTGAACCACAATACTATCGGTTAAAAAAATCTTTCTACTTTCTAAGTTAGTAACAATAAAATAAAATCACATAGTTTACCTTTCAACAGGATACATCCATCAATAATGAACAGGACCTCCAAGTTTAACTTCTTCAACAAGGTGAACAACCAAGTGAACGATAACCGTGAAGAACGAGGGAGGAAATAACATTTCCATGTGGCATAAAGTAAGGACAATTTGGTTTTGCAATTTTTCCAATTCTTCAATTTTCAATACCTTGGCACATAATTGTCTAAAGAATGAGCACATCTCAATCAAAACTGCTGAAATCTCATGAGGTAATGTGTTGCGAATGGCTAATGGTAGGAGTTGTTCCATTAATATATGACAATCATGACTCTTCATCATTCCATTCACCTTGAGATTTACTAAGTCAATGCATCTAGAAGTGTTGCTCTAATAACCATCAGGCACCCTAATATTCCTTAAAGTTGTTAAAAAATTCCTTTTATCTTTACCCATTAAACTAAAGGCTGCCAGAGAAATTCTACCATTTTCATCAGGCCAAAGATCAGGTCTTATACCCATGTTTTGAAGGTCATCTCTAGCTTTAGAATTGTCTTTACTCTTTTTCCTATCATTTAGTAAAGTAAATAGGACATTATCACACACATTTTTCTCAATATGCATTGGATCAAGATTATGGCGCAGAAGATTATCCTTCCAATACGGAAGTTCAAAAAATATGCTCTTTTTTCTCCATTGTTGAGGATGACCTAGTGTAGGATCACACTGTGTACTATCACCTTCTATAGGTTGTCCCTCAAATGTTCTTTTTAGCGATTTTTCTTTCACTGGCTTTTTACCAAAGATGACTTCAATATCTTTAACCTGTTCAAAAACTTCATGTCCAGATAATGTTCTTGGTGGACTCCGTATTTCTTGTTCACCAGTAAAGCGGATCCTGTTAAATCTAAATTTGTGTCTCCGATTAAGGAAACGACGATGACCCATAAAACACCATTTATGGCTAGCTTTAAGACGGAGAGGTGTACTTTGAAAGTTACACGATGGGCAAGCAAGCCCTGTGTCCAGAAAATGCGCCCATACCTGGAAAGTCACTAATCGTCCACATCAAATTTGCATGAAACTTGAACATATCTTTCTTGAAAGAATCGTATGTATCCACACCATTTGTCCATAATTCTTTCAGCTCTTTGACTGGGGGTTGTAATTAGACATCAATATTATTTTCGGGTGCTTCTTTTCCGGGAATTATCATTGACATTATAAATGATGTTTGTTTCATGCAAACCCATGGAGAAGTGTTATATGGAATGAGAACAACTGGCCAAATACTATTGTTTGTACTCATCACACCAAAAGGATTAAAACCATCACTAGTCAATGCAAGACGCACATTTCGTGGATCTGATGAAAACCAAGTATGTGTCAAGTCAAATTTCTTCCAAGCTTCTGAATCTCTAGGATGCCTCAACATTCCATCGTTGTTAGCATCTGTTGCGTGCTATCTCATATCATCGGCCGTCTTTGATGACAAAAATAATCTCTGTAATCGAGGTTTTAATGGAAAATAACGAAGAACCTTGGAAGGAATTTTTTTTTATTTTTCTTGTTAACAAAGACTGCTTCATTTTTTTTCCATTTTGAAGTGTTACAATTTTTGCAAGTCTCCCTTTCTTCATCTTCTCCCCAATAAAGCATACAACCGTTTGGACATGCAGGTATCTTTACATAATTCAAACCATGTTTTGTGATTGATTTCTTGGCTTCATGGAACGAACCTGGAATGTTTGCATATTCAAATGCATCTTTAATTAACTCTAAAATCATTGTCATTGCCTTCTCACTCAATCCACATAAATACTTTATATGGTACAACTTAACCAAAAAAGATAGTCTTGAATATCGTCTACACCCTTCATACAAAGGTTGTTCTCCTTCTCTAGTCAATTCATAGTACTCCTTTGCTTCGTTTCTTTCCTGAGTTGCACTTAGCATCACATAATCTTCTTGGCCAATCTCTAAATTTGACGCAGATGGTATTTCATTAGCATGATACATATTAACTCCAAATGCATCATTGATCATTTTATGAATAGGATCTTCGAAAATGATAGTATCTTCAACCATATTTTGAGTAGTACTAGGGGAGATAGTACTAGGTACAACAAAGGACTCTCCATGATGAATCCACATGGTGTATCCCTGCGGAAATGGTGACCACATTAAGTGGTCGAACATGTCACTCCTACTCTTTGATTTTTTGAAACCGCAGTGTTTGCAAGGGCATATTACTACGTCATTTTCTTTTGCACCTTTAAATGCAAAATCAATAAATTCTTTTATCCCTTGCTGATATACAATCAATGATTGTGGCTTAGTAATCCATGACTTATCCATTTCTTCAAAAAATAGACATAGATAGATACAACAGTAAAGTTCAAAGAAAATCCTATAAAAAAAGCAAACACTCTAAATACAAATATTTACAGCAATAGAATCAGATGCCATTAAAAGACAAAAGTTACACTCTAGCCTCATAATCACAAACTAACCAAAATAAACCCAAGACACTATGTCATATATTATTAACCGTCACAAAACCATTCTTAACAAAAATAGGGAGAGAGATGTTGGTGATTTTCATTGTTACCTTCCATTACTAGCATATCTTGAAGCTCTGCCTTCAACGTATGTTGATGAAAAAGATATATGCAAAAATTTGAGTCTAGACGGTTCATTGTTCCAATCTACCTCTGCCACTGCAAAAGCATTCATGAATTATGGAAACAAAAAATGTCTCGCATATTTACAGTCCTTGTCACAAAGATGCCCAAAAGCAGCTCCACAATCATATCCCATGGATGAAGACCATATAAAGCTCAACATTGCTAACCGATTACATAGGTTTGGATTGGGACAATATTTTGTGAGAGAGATTGAAAGACTTTTGTTACGAGTTTATAGGTAAGACTCATGTGAATAAGCATCGTTTATAAAGTATTTTTTATTATAAAGTTTATCTTGTTTGGTATTTGAATGTAGGAATTATAATAAGGCATCAAGCACGTCGAATATGAATGATTTGCAGTTTCTGAAAGATACTATCACGTTTGAGCTTCTGCGGACATATGGATTCAAAGTATCACCACTTATGAATGATTTGCAATCATAAAATTATTTGATTGGTTATAGTTACTAATAATCAATTTTAATTTTAATTATGTCTTATGTTATGTAGTACGCTTTTGTTGGTTTCTGAATCATGAAGAAATTAAAGTTGAGATTGAGAGAGATTATGAGCACTTCTCAAGTGCAATGCTTCATATTTTCAGAGTTTCAAACTTAACATTTTGTGGAGAATATGAACTCGAGGAAGCTAGAACTTTTTCTAGGAAAATACTTGAGAAAATCGTTTTAACAGGAAAAGGACGCTTATTGCAACAGTTTAAATTATCTAAACTTCAATTTTTTGTATGCTATTATGAAAACCTAATATTAAGTTAAAGTCTTTCATGATTTCGCGTTTCAGATTGAGCACGAGTTGAGTTTTTCATGGTTTGCTCGCTTGGATCATTTAGAGCAAAGAGTGTGGATAGAAGAAACAGAAGCTAATGTTTTATGGAAAGGAAAAACATCATATAACAGGTACTCACATGATGCATGTATGGATCTCTATTCAAATCAATTCGAATATATTACAAGTTCATTCTACTTATTTGTTCCCATTTGCAGGGTCTCATGCATCTATAATGATGAATTTCTACAACTTTCCACTCTAAACTTTGAGTTTAAGCAATTTCTATACAAAAATGAACTTAATGAACTTAAGAGGTATACTAAAATTTCTAACAATTAATTAGATTTGAATCTTATTCATACGAATCTTAGTGGATGATTACATTTGATATTGATATGTAGGTGGGTTGAAAAGTATGGTCTGAGTAATATGGGATTCGGCAAAGAAAAAAGCACTTATTGTTACTTTGTTGTTGCTGCAAGTTTAATATCCCTCCCTCACGACTCTTACGTTTGAATGCTTATAGCTAAAACTGCAATTATAATCACAGTTACAGATGATTTCTTTGATATTGTTGGTTCTCTCGATGAACTAGAAATCCTCACCGAAGCAGTTCAAAGGTACATAATCAAAATTTGTTTCTAATAATTGTTTTAGATTTCGTATATAATAATGATATATGTATTTTTTGGAAATAATAGATGGGATAGTAGAAGCCTAAGTAGCCACAACAAAGTTATATTTGATGCACTTGATGATCTTGTGAGTGAAGCTTCTAGAAAATATATCCAACCAGAAGGAACATCTGATGATATCTTAGGAGACTTCACACTGTTGATGCAATTGCAGAATTCTTCACCATCCAATGGTTGAAATCTCATGAGAAGGAAGATATTTTCATAGAGTTGCCAACTGATACTGAACCTGAAGTTGCAGTGATGTTACACACCTATAAAGATATTTTTCAAGCTCTATCATCTCTGCCCACTGTCAGAGCACAAAATCACACTATACCATTATTGTAAGGCTCAAATCCTGTTAAGGTTAAACCTTACAAGTATCCTCATAGTCAGAAAAATCAGATTGAGAACATGGTTCAGGAAATGCTGCAGCAAGGGATCATTCAACCCAGCACTAGTCCATTCTCATCACCAATTATTTTAGTGAAAAAGAAAGATGGAACTTGGAGGTTCTTCACTGATTATAGAGCTTTTAATGCTCTAACAATCAAAGATTGTTTTCCGATTCCAACAGTGGATGAGCTTGTTAGATGAACTGTTTGGAGCGAAATATTTTTCCAAATTGGATCTCAGATGAGGCTACCATCAGATATTGGTTCAGCCAGAACACAGGTACAAAACATCTTTTAGAACACATCACGACCACTATGAGTGGTTGGTCATGCCATTTGGATTGACAAATGGTCCTGCAACATTCCAGAGTTTAATGAATCACATCTTCCAACATGCCTTAAGAAAATGTCTTGGTGTTTTTTGATGATATATTGGTTTATAGCACCAATTGGATGGAACACTTAAGACATCTAGCGACAGTTCTCAAAGTATTACAAGATAACACCTTATTTGTCAAGCTATACAAGTTCTCATTTTGATTTAGAGAAATCGAGTACTTGGGTCACATTATGAATGGAGAAGGTGTTTCTATGGATAAAGACAAGGTCACAACTGTCTTAAAATGGCCAGTTTCTCAAAATATAAAGTGGAGAGCAAATCTTGTTGCTTGGGCGAATGATGCAGGAGTGAAGGTGTATGATACTGCCAATAACCGGCGAATAACATTTATCGAAGCTAAGATTGATATTGCAAATGCCCAAAAGCCCAACTTCCAACACCTACATTATTTTTGGTGAAGCTAAGATTGAGGACTTGAGTTCATAGCTACCAACTTAGGCATCTGAAGAATTCAAAGCTCCTAATTTGAGAAATGTTGGAGTGAAGCCAGAATCCTCTGGTATTTCTCCGAAAGAGGAAGATGTAGATGAGACTAATGTTGATCCCAAGGATATCGAGTTGGTGGTGACTCAAGCTAGTGTTCCAAGATCAAGAGTTGTTAAAGTTCTCAAAGTTGCCAATGGAGACATTGTTGCTGCCATTATGGAGCTTACTATTTAATGCTTAGAATTGGCAGTGTTTGGTTTTGTGGAGCTTACTACTTAATGCTTAGAATTGGCAGTGTTTTGTTTTGTGGAGCTTACTACTTAATGCTCCATGATGAAAAATATACAGGGAGTTTGGGATAACCAAAAAAGGCGTTATTTCAACACTGATGTAGTTCAATTCAGTGATTCTCACTTTACCATTTTTCTATCTCAACACTAATTTGACTACTATGAACAATTATATCTTTCTCAAAAAAAAATCTATAGAAGATCTAGTCTAAAATAACACAACCCGATATTTCGATTTAAATCGCAAGTATATTATGAAGCCCGTTCTGAATTATAAACAATGTATCAAAAATATAGTTTAAACTCCTAAACAAGCAAAGTACTCAATCAAACAACAAGCACAATAGAGAAAGCAACCGCCGCAGCTAGACATGATCACCGAAAACAAAATCGAGCCTGACATCAACTCAGGACAAAACCATTGAATTAACAGCACACAAGATTTCAAATAAAGGTCCTATACCAGAATTTGCTACCGCAACCCTTCAGCATCAAGAAACTCGATCCGACACGTCCACATAGATAAATAATCCATTTTTCTTACACAAATTTAACTCTCAAACAGAGAAATCTAACACATAATGCTTAAAATCCAAACCAATTAAATACAAAATTCAAAGTAAAATCCAAATCAAGATCCGATTCAGGGTTTGAGAAGACAAACCTGTAAAGATTCGAATTGATGGTGGTTGCTTTGACGGTGATTCGGTGATTCGCAATGACAGCGTCAGGTTGAGAAAAATGTCAGTTTCCCTCTTTCTCTCCAAGGACGTGAGCGGCAAATTCTTAAAAAGAAGTGAAAAATACGTGGAAAGAATTCTCAGTTTTTGCGGGAAGATGAAATTTTGGAGCACGACGGTTGGATATCACCGTCACAGATGAAATTTTGACAATTTTGAACTAACGATAAGGACTGTAGCTTCCAGTCATAATACAGTTTTATTTTAATAAATTTTTTTATTTCTCTATTTTGATTGAATTATTTTGTTTATTTGATATTTTATAATATTATGATTATGAGTATATATAGTTTAATTTTATATTTAATTTTTATTATAAAAATTATTTCTAAAATTTTGATATATAGTTTAATTTTAATACTTTAATTTTGGATATAATATTTTGAATTTAATTTTTACTATAAAAATTGTTTTTAAAATTAAAGTTTCATTTTGAGTATATATAATATTTTCATTTTTATGTATTTTAAGTTTAATTTATTCCTATAATTATATTTTATAAATGATTTTAGTCATTTATTTATTTAAAATACATAGACTTATTTAGATCCGCCATTGGTTATAGTTTGTGTTACTGGGTTTAAGGGGCGACAGTTGTTCTACCGTCGGGACATAAAATTTAGAGCGGCACTTGAGACAGTCATGAACTTATTTGTAGGATGGCTTAATGATAACAATCATAATATTTAATAATCTTTTAAAAATATAAGGACGATAGGTGTATACTGTCGTGAAACGCGTCTCTATATTAGAGTTACGACAGTTATCAAGTAACTGTCGCAATTTTTGTGTCGTAAAACTCTAATTTTCTTGTAGTGATTACTTTTAAATTATGTACTAATATTGTAATCCTTTCAAATATTTTTAATGAAATGAAAGTTCCAATTTTTCTCTTAATGTGTTATTACTTATGATGTTTGCTATATGTTACTTAGTTCCTTTGAGATAATCATTTGCATATGTATCTCATGCATCATTTGGTCTTACTTTCTGCTAGTCTTTCGGAGTCTCATTCGTTTCCTTTGTCTTCGTAGAAGACAAGCTGACACACCGGTATAATACTTGCACCAATTCAAGATTAAAGATGGATACAGCTGAGCAAGAGCAAAGGGAACTTCTTGAGGAATTGAATTTATTGAAGAAATGAACAAACAGAATGACTGCTCCATTGGAATCCTTGGTGGCAGCTTTGAATCAACCACCATCTCTGTCTTAACCTCAAGTGACTATTATTGTACCCCAAAATTTGCCCAACCTTTTCTTTACTTGGCTTATGTTTTCACTGCATTGTTCTAGCATTTGCATTTGCATATCATTGCTCATTTGCAGGGGATCAAGAGGTGTGCATAGAAAGAGAAGGATTGTCAAGGGTTCCAAGCAGGCATGAGTGCTCATCTAGTCATCAGAAGCTAGTCAGAGCTCTTTGAGAAAGTGAATGAATTTATGTTGCTTATCTCCTATCTTGGAGACCAATTGAAGATCATCAGAGAATCACAAGTTCATTGATATGGGTATGAAATGTTGTAAAGCTCACTGAGTGCTTTGAAAGCCATTGTGGAGCTTATACAAATTGTTATATCATGTGCAAGGGGTTGCAGTCAAAGGATTGTACACCTAGGGTTTCATCTGCCTAGTGCAAGATCCACTAAGGATTTGAAGGAGATTAAAACTTAGTTCTAAGTCTTTGGATTCATGGCAAGTTGTGTTGAGGCATCTAAAATGTTATT